GCATAGTGCTGAGGCTGAGACCCTGGTCAAGACAGACTTGATGATTATTCTTTGGTCAAAGACTCATGACTGACAATAACTGGTATAAGCTCACAATCAATAGGACACACTAAGAACTATTCTAATTTACATATGCTTCACCTTTATTAGACTGAAAACCTTTAGGAGGAAAAGCCTTTATCTCAGGGCTCAGGATGTGGGCTCAGTGGTAGAGCTCCTAGGCAGCATGTGTGGGGTCCTGGGTCCAACCTCCAGAACCAGAAAACAAACAAACAAACAAACAAAAACCCCTATCTCTTGCTCACTGTGGTGTCCTGGCAAAAGGGAGAACACACTCGGTTAGTGATTTACCTCCCTTTTGATGTAGACTGTCTTTTCACCAGAGGTTATCAAATCTAGTCCTTATAACGGAATCCCCAATCGCTTTCATTATTTTTCTCTGCATAAAATCAATTTCAACATCTTGTGGCTAATATTTTTCTGAGCTCACATCAAAGTGCAAAATAACCAACATCTCCTGGTGGCCCACAACACAGTAGGCTGGTCCCTGGCTGGTCCATGGTCACATGGGTGCATGATTACCACTGGGGTAGTGAAGGTGCAGCCAGATAATGAGATGTGCACTTTGGAGGCAAAGGTGCCATTACCTGTGCAGATGACACTGGCGTCTTCTCCAGGGCCACAGTTATGCAGATGCCAGCCAGCATGTGGACACTGTCCCAGAAAACTCTCTTTTCCGGTACAGTCCACATCATCCAGCAGAAACTCGCCTTTGCCTTCACCAAATTGTGCCTCAATGGGGGCTGCAAGGGCGGGTCCGCAGCTCAGCTGCTGGCACACCACTTGGGCTTCATTGAGGTCCCACCGGTCATCGCAGACCCTGCCCCACTGTCCATGGTAGAAAACTTCCAGTCTCCCAGAGCATCTGCCTGATCCATTCATGAGTTGCAACTGTGGCCAGTCTTTTGAAGATGCAAAAATATTGCATTTTAGGAGAAGGAACATATTCTGCATGAACCCATGTGCATTTAGTGTGCCTATGCTGAGTCACAGTGCATAGCACTGTGGACCCTGTGTTTAAGAGAAGAAGCCTGGTCCTCGCTGTCAAAGAGATCAAAATCTAGTTTGAGAGTCTGGAGGTGATTGACACGTTAATCTAAAATTAAGTGGAGATTTGCAACTACATCAAGCTCCAGGAAGCAAAGGAGGGAGGATATCCATTGTGTTTTAAGGATGTCCATAGTGGGGTGTGGGGGGATATCTTACTAAGAGGTGACCATGGGTCCAGGGCCTTGAGAGGGATAGGAAAGAGTTAAGGGGACAAATTCCATTGCCCTAAATTTACCTAGCCTATCTCATGCACCTTCAAGACTGAGGACACCAAGGGGACAGTCTTCCTCAGTGCATTAAACAAAACAAATCAAAGCCCACAGAGTTGTATGAAGAGCTGAATTCACAGGGACCCTCAGTGAAATCATTCTGTTTGGCAGTATTTGCACAATTGGAGTCTACCGCCACTTAGAAGCATGTGATCCACCAAGCCACATCACACAAGGATGGGGGCAGAAAACCTTGACTCACCACCAGGGAACGGTGTTAAGATTTCAGCATCTAAGAGCAAAGAGAAATAAATAAGGTATCGTTGGCCGGCAGGATAGTGCACACAAGTTTGCTGGGCGAGTATCAGCATGTGTGTGGTGGAATCGATGTTGTGCTAACAACGTGCTTTGGGAAGTATATTCAGTAGGTTTTCATCAGGTGAGAAACTTATTATGCTTAGGCAGCTTGGAGTCATTTACAGCTTGCTTTTTAGAACTGGGTTATTTGTGCAAATGTCCCTTCTGCCAGAAAGGCAAAAGGGTCCAGTGCTAATGGAATTGTACTCCTGTGGCACTCACAGAGGGCCTTCAAGAAAGGAGAATTTTGGAGTATACTGGAGGACTCAGGTTAGTAAGAAAGCACACGAGAGGATCGGAAGCTGTTTCTCCTAAAGTACTGACTCTTCGTTGGGGCCTGCAGATGCCAGTAGGTAACTCAAGGAAGGGTGGTGGCCTGGCAACTCTGCCTGCGTTCTGTATCTGGCCCTTTGCCATGTGCTGGAGCCGGATTCTTGTTGACTTTGCTCGCAGGCATGCTATTCATTTAAGGCGCGTTCGTGTAAACACTGGTGTTACAAGGTCCATTGCCCTAAATTCACCTAGCCTATCTCATGCCCCTTCAAGACTGAGGACACCAAGATAAGAGTAACTGAGGCATTTTCAAGATTTGTAGAGACATTCAACTGCCAGCTCTTTAGCCTTCTCTTCTAGACTCCTGGGTGGTGCCTGGTCAGTGCCCTGCACCTTCCAGGAACAGCGCAGGCTTTCAGGCAGTTCATCTCAGGATAAGACTGTCTTCCAAAGCAGGAGCAGTCATCTCATAGGAACTAAACTGTCCCCTTCAGGATCACAGGTCTCATAGCTCAACACACTGAGCAGCAAAGGGAGATTACATCCTCAGGGGTGCAGATGAGGACTTCTCTGGAGCCACCTTGCAGAACCTGAACTGAGATATTGACACAGACTAAGACTGCTCAGTTTTTCAGATCTCTCACCCCACCCCAATTCTTCCTCTATGTAAACCTGAAGCTCATACCAGTGCCATGAAGTCAGGGCTGAGATGCTTGATCTGAATTTGCCTTCCAGGACAGCCATACTGATTAAAGTTCCCTTCCTGCTCTTCACCGTACTTCTTCCTTTTGGTTTTGGGGGCCAATGGCCAGACCTAATTTGTTGGGACTCTCAGAATCAAGCCTCTGGCCTGGGACTCTGGTGACAAAAGGACACACTTTGCTCCATTAATCTCTGAATCTGCCAAAGGGACAGACAGGAATGTTGTGTCCTGAGGCCACGCTCACCGCCTTTCCAACACATTATCTGAAGTCAGGATTTTCTTTAGTCTAATCCAAGTTCGATGACATCTCTGAATGTTAATTTACTAAACCACATTCATATCCTCACTTCGCAATTTTCTAAAATACAGTTGGACAGGAACAAACAAGTTGGGAGAGAAAATATTTACTGCATGGTTAAAGGCAGGGGATCCACCTTCTCTTCCTTTCATTTGTCATGTCCCTTTGATCACATCCAATTGTTTGTCTCCTGCCCCTCCCCTGCCTCCTGCAGTGGGTTACATTGGTTAACACAGAGCACTGGGGCATGTGTGGATGCTCTGCTGAAGACATACTAAAGTGTGACTCTTACCAAAATCTTCCAAAGTTTCATGTTCATATTCTACGAAAAAGAAAAAAAAAAGTGGAATGTAACTTGAATCGATGAGGAATAATAATTCTGAAAGCCCCACAGGCTAAGCAGGTGTTTTCCTAAAGGGCTAATGCTACTTGATGTGAGTACCTAAAGCATTGTTTTCATATTAAAATAAAGGTGGTTTTATTACAATTTGAAAGAGAAACTCTGAAGGGACTTTTATAGATAATAGGATTTCAAAGACAGTCTCTGCTTAGGGCAAGCAAACTTGGGCTCTGCTGTTTGGGGCATCTATTTGAGAAATACCAGAACTGATTAATCTATTAACTGCAAGAATATACTCAAAACATACTCTTACATCCTCTGAAGTCAGACATGTATTTATAATTTGCCAACTGGACTGTTTCCTTCCAGGGAGCCTGGCCCAGGAAGATGCTGGGAGGGTGGCAGATCCTCCTTCTGCCCGCCCAGGCTGCTTGGGGCACCTTTAGCCAGGTGAGGCAAGGCTGAGGACTCACAGGAGGGGCTTTGGGAAGTATCTGGCACAGTCAAACTCTAAGGCAGGGCCTGGGGTCCAGGAGGCTGGAGGGGCTGAAGGTGCAAGACGGTGAGAGGCCTTGGGAAGGCAGGGTTCATGGACCGCAGGGCTCCTCCACCCCCTGGACCTGCTCCTACAACTGTGCTGTCTTCAGTAGGAAAGGGCCCAGCCAGGCAGGGCTCCTGACCCCGAAGTCACCAAGATGGGAGTCTGCTGCTTGGGATGGGAGCTGGCACGTGGAGGGGCTGTAAGCCCAGAGCAGGGTCATTTTGCTCACTGCTGGATCTCAAAGCCTTCTGAAATACATACTGGTTGAGTATTTAGGTCTTGGCCACTGGCTGATGCCTCAGATCCTGCTTCCCTATATGCTGAATTTGAGAGGCTCAAGAAGAAGGCTCTCAACAGGAGTTAGCAGCTGGGGAGCAAAGAGGGGCCTTCCTCCTTTACCCCCTCCTCTTCCTCCTGACTCTGCCCCTGCGCCTTCATCCAAAGTCAGCTAATCAGAGATACAGCTGTGCCGTCTCTAGGAGGTTGATTACCTCAAAAAGCAGAAGGTGCAGGTACAGTGTCACTGGCAGCCTGCTCTCAGGCTGTGGACTGACAGGTTAATGGACCAGAATTAGCTGTACTCGGCCTCATGGCAGCCTGGGGAAGGCAATGTGATTATCGTTGTGACAATCATTCCCTCTTGGTTAGAAAAGGGCTGAGTGATTTGCAAAGAGCCACATTAAGGCAAGGAAAAGAGGGGTTAGGGGAGGGTCCCAGAGGGATACCCATGGGGGTGGCCCCACCGAGTCTGCGATTGGAAGGGCCCTGCCGTTAATGCTCCCCTGTCACTGTCCTGAGATTCTTCATAATTCTTGAACAAGGGAACCCTCTTTTTCGTCTTGCACTGGGACCCACAGACTATGTAGCCTGTCGTGTGCCTGACCTGGGACTTCTCATTTCAAATCTAGCGTTTTCTCGAAAGTAACTGCAATTGGCTTCTCAAGCAGACAGAAAAGGACTGGGGTGACACAGGGTGGCCAGCTGCTTCCTGAACACCACAGAGGGAAGCTTCCTGGGAGCGGCTTTCTTGGGAAGCTAGCTGAGGTCTCAAGCAGACGTGGTGAGTCACAAAGTCCTTCTCTTGTGTTGGGGAGAAAGGAGGAGACTCAGGGAATGATATTGGACAAAGAGAAAAAATCAACTCTCAGGAAAGATGGAAAGCAATTTACCGGAGCAGATGACACCAGTGTCCTCCCCGTGCCCACAGTTGTGGGTAAACCAGCCGGCATGGGAGCACTGCCCCAGGTGGGCTTCGGTCCCAGAACACTGCACATCGTCCAGAAGAATGGGGCCAGAGCCCTGGCTGAAGTAGGCCCCTCCAGGGGCGGAGACGGCCATCCCACAGCCCAGCTGCTGGCACACCACCTGCGCTGCCTTCTCATCCCACAGGTCATCGCACACTGTGCCCCACATGCCTTCGAAGTACACCTCCACTCGGCCAGAGCACCTTCCAGAACCTTCCACGAGCTGCACAACAAGCCAGTCTTTGGGAGAAAGGCAGTCCCCGCCCCCACCTCAGTGTTTGTGAATGAAGTCATCTTCCCCACCACCTTCCCCGCCACTGCTGGCTCTGGCTAGATTATGCCCTTGACAACGGACATCTTCTTAAATTTCATAACTGCCTGTGGGCATTATTGTCCCCGTTTTTACCATGGGAAGAAACAAGGTGACAATGGCATCAGCCTCCTGGAGTCTCACTGTTAGTGAGGGGCAGCAAGGGACCCCATGAGAGCTCCATAGGGTCCCCCTGTTTGGGTGGCATTGTCCATGGACCATTTGAGACCACGGCATGGTGAGATGTCACAGGACCTTGCTCTGTTCTTTTCAGAAGCACTTCATGCTGGAACCTCCCGCCTGCTCTGACAAGAATACCAGCTCTGGGCCCTTGATGGTTTAGCCTGGGACCTGTCTCGTGGATCTGGGCTCGCTCTGGCTTTGCTATCATCAGCCTCACATCAAGGGTGCCGTGCATTATTCCCAAAGACACTGCTGCCCTCGCCTGCCGCCTGGACCTACATTTCACCTCTCGGAGGTCTTTGCTGGGCATATTTTCCTGGTTCCCTCAGGGACCTCAGGGGCAGGCAAGGCCTGCTGGGCTAGTGGATAGCAAGGTGCCAAGGGTGGGGCTCCCACGTGGTGGTCACAGGCACCCAAGTTTGCTTCTCAGCTCGGCCAGTAACTATGTGATTTGTGGGCCACCTGAGCTCTTTCCCCCATCTGTAAATAAGAAGGGCACCTGCCTCACAGGGGATTCGTGAGGCAAATACAGTAAAGTGCCTGGCACTGAGGGAGCACTTTGGAGCTGACAATTTTACAAACTGGTAATTAGATCCATCAAGGGACAGTTACCAATTCCCAAGGCTCACTGCTACAGAGCCCTGGTTGGGTCCCTGCTGTCTCTCCTCTTTCCTGTGGCCACAGGACAGTGCTTTCAACGTGTGACCCTCACATGGCCCCTGTCGTGCACATCTTGGGGAGGCTTGTAAACATGCAGAATCTGGAGGGTGCCCACATCTCAGAGCTGGGACCAGGATTCTGCACGTTCAGTAAGACCTGGGGGTGATGTCCACACACCCCCCTCATATAAGAACGCCTAAAATAGAGACCCTTAAGACAGGCTTAAGCTATTAAAATCATGAAGGTAGATAAAGATCTGATAGCATCCTGTCTTATTAAGCAGAAATAAAACTGAGCTGTTCTTACTTCTGCTCAGCAGGAACCATCACTCTCCAAAGGCTTTCATAGTATCCGTCCTAAAGATCCTGCCCACCCTCATTCTGTCCTCCTGCAGGCCTAGGGGGCTGTCTGGCTGGGACTCACCTTGCTGCTCCACAGACGTGCCTTTGATGGGGTTTCCCTTAGGGTGTCCCTTCCCCAGCCTTCCTCCAGATCCTCTGGTGTCCCTCCTGTAGCAAACTGAGATGTACCAGCCTCATTAAGACCCAGCAGGGATGCTGACCGCAGCCTGCCCCAAAAGCAGCTTCCTGGGCCCAGCTGCAAACCCACGGACACTCAGGCTCAGCAGACCGGGGCCCGGAAATCTGAATTTTCAACAATCCAAGAGGTTGTTCTGTACGGCCAAGTGTGGAACCCATGTTCCGCTGTTGCTTTACCTTAAGCCCTCGCCTTGGAGGATTCTTGTCCTACATCTCTTGCTTTAATCAGGTAAGTTATGCCAACTATTTGCCAGTAGTGCACTTTATTATGCAGCTTCAGCGATCCATGGTTAATCTTAAAGCATTTTCTTTAATAAGCTAGGATTTACACAGAAATTCAGCCATGCTTTTTAGTTAAATTCCTATGTTTTCTAATATCTCCCTGGGTTTATCTTTGCACAACAATTTTTATGGCTATTATTTTTGTATTTTCATTACACACTTTTTTTTTCTTTTCAGAGGCTATTTAACCTTAGTTAATTAATTTTATGTTATCCTTGGTAAGAGAGGAGGTATTTATACTCAACATCACATAAACACAGCAGTCTTTTTTTTTTTTTAAACTGGTTCCTGACTCTTCCTGGAGGGTGCGATAGCTGCCATATAACATTGTCATTACCTACAAGTAAGTACTATCCTCCAAAAATGGCCCTTTGGTGGGTTTGTAACACGAATCCATTTGCCCTTCAGCTCACATGTCTGTCTGGCCAGATGCCTGGTCTGGGCTGCAAGCAGGGGACAGACAGTAGCTCTCCCAGACACGCAGCTGGCAAGAGACCAGGCTGGGATTTGGTTCCAGGCTCTAGACACTGGGCCACTGAGCCGTCTGACTCTCACGTGCTCTCCTGCCCCATTCCCCTCAGGACAGCGTCTCTGATTCTTCTCCTTCCACACCTCTCACATCCTGCCAGCATGTCAGAGCGATTCTGTCCAGTGTCGCTTTGACCCATTCCTTTGCATGAACAACATTAGATCCCATGTCTACATTGAGCCTCAGCATTTTCAAAGCCCTTCCAAACCCTTTGTCTCATTAGATTATCAGAGAAACCTGGCGTGTGCTGCTCAGGCCTAGCAAGGTGACTTAGATTGCAGAATGTCACTCAAAAAAAAAAAAATCTGAATCTGTATTGCTTTGCCGAAACCCACCCTAGCCGCCCTGAGCTAGGATTTTTAAAAATTTTGTGCCTGGACTACCCCTGCCACTCTTTTGGCCAGTTTCACTAATGCAGTCTCTCCCCACCTCCTCCAGGCCACCCGCCTACTCATCTGAAACAGCCTTCGTAATGTCATTTTGCTGCTATCGTGGTGGGAGAAGACCAGAGTTCTTATCCTGGATTCCAGAACCCTCCAAAATCAGCTCCCTGCTTCCTTTCCAGCTGCTCTCATGGGCAGACTGCTCTCTCTCCCTCAGAAGGAAGCTTGCCCTTCCCAGCTCCGGGACCCCTCTAGAGCTACTAAAATTCCCAGGAATGTCATAACCCTGCACACAGACATGGCATCCTGGCCATCCAGACAGGATGAATCTCAACTCAGAAACCTCTGTAGCATTTTCCAAGAATTCTCCCTAGTGAAAGCCCCACCTCCCCAAATCGTAACGTCCAGTTTGTTTAACCAACGTGGCTGAGCACATTGGTGCCAAGTGCTAGGTGGTGTCTTGATAACTCAAGAGTCAAGACATGATCCACGTCTTGGGAGATCAAGACGTGGTACCCACCAGCGAGCTTGTGTCTTGTCTCCGCAGCCCAGGTGGAGGGCCTTGGATGGACAGAGGGGACTGTCCTCCCAGCGCAGGACCTGGATGGAATCGGACACTCTCTCATGGTCAGAGAGTGAATTAATGGCACGGGATGTCAGAAGGCCTTGAAAACTGGGTTGGCTAAATCTGAAGGACGCGGATAAGGCATGGCATGAAGAGGAGAGGAAGGGAAAGCAGGCCAGCGTCTGGCTGTGGACAGGGGAGGGCTGGCCAGGGGCTCAGAGCCGAGTGCGGCCTCCGATGTGGAAAGTCAATATTCCCCCAATCTTAAGAAGGGCACAGCAGGGCACAAGCACCCTGCACCCCAGCCTGAAGCCCCCACACCCCCAGGGCTGCCCAGCCCCTCCTGCGCAGGAAGGCCAGGCGGCCTGGGGATGGGAATACGTTGTCCTGCGTGTTTGGTTTTGTGGGCCTGGGGGTGCTAATTGTAAGTGTGAGGTGAGAGCCCTGAAAGGTTTAAGACTAACTGATAACTCCACGAGGAGGGTGGCATTGGGGACAGGGGATAACAACAGTGCTTCTTTTGGGACCTGAAGGAGGGGGAAAGAATGGATGAAACAAGTTGGACCTGTTTGGGGAGTGTGTGAGTGTGAGTGTGATGAATGTGTAGAGTGAGAGTGTGCTTGCGAGAGTGAGTGCAAAAGTGTGTGTGGTGAGAGTGTGATTTATATGGGAGTTTGTGCGAGTGTGTCAGTATATGTGTGAGTGTGTGAGTGCATGTGTGAGTGTATGTGTGAGTGTGTGAGTACATGCGTATGTGTGAGTGCTGGTCCTCAGTGCTGTCAGCAGGGCAGGGCGGTGGGACTCCCACTGAGTGAGTGACAGAGATACATGGGACACAGCTGAGCACACCCAGGAGTAGCCGTCTGACCTTGGCGGCAGGGCTGGAAGGCGGGTCTGAGGGAGCACAGGCAGGGCAGAGAGGTATGTGGGTGTGGGCGTGGGGGCAGGAGGCAGCCCCACCATGGAGCGTGGCTGGCTAATGGGGTTTTAGACTGTTTAGCAATTTAACTTGGATTTCGTTGATCAATAAATGCTGCCCCAGTCTGCAATCACATTCTGAGAAACAGCCTTTGTTTCTACAGTGATCAACAAGTTGCCCTTTGTCCCCAGTTTTCATGTGAATTGTGCTAATATCAACCAAGCTGCAAATTCCTCCAATCCCTTCCAGTATTGTGGGACCTGCAGGGACCTGCAGCGTGTCCCTGGGGTGGCTGTCCCTGGAAGGTCACACTGGCCTCATTATCTGCGAGGCTCTTATGCAATTGGCACCAGGAGCCTGACAAAGCCTATTGGGCCATATCATGTCACTAATCCTGAACTCCCGGAAACTCAAGATTACCCCCACCAGAAACCCACAGGGTGACTGACACCTCCTGGGGAGAGCTGTGGGGAGAGTGTGGCATGGATGGGAGGTGGCAAAGGGGCCGAGATAAAGGAGGCACCCAAGAACCAGGGAGAAAATGGCCCCATTGAGAACGGAGACTTGCAAATGATGTCTACAAGATCAGCTGAGCCTCTCAAATATCCGAAGATCTGCAGCAGCTCTGGAAACCAACTCACAAGCTCATAATCCCCGCTCCTGTTCTTTGAAAGGGTCTCATGGGCAGAGACCAGTCAAGGGTGTGACACGCTTGCTCATTGCTTTTCCATTCATTTACTTCAGCTGTGGGTGCAGAGCCCTTTACTGTGCAGGGGACGGTCCGGAGGACTGGTCTCAG